TATTCAAAATAGAATTGAGGTAGGTGGCTTGCATTTTAGTAGGCTAGAGCAACACTCGCTTCACGCCCATAAAATTGTCTAACACATTTTGTTAAGTGTTGTTGTAGAATTTTATTAGGCTATTCACCCCCCCTCTAGCCATTAGGACCTTTCAACTGCCAAAGGTGCCCATGGCCCACTTTGGCCTTAGCCAAGCTCCGCCCGTGAGTGCAAGTATGTCTATAAGGAGAACCGAAGCGTGGCTTTCGAGTGGCAAAACCAGTGGTTGGGACCTTGCCGACCGGAGTTCGAGCCCGTGGTCTGCAATTTCTGGTCTCTCACCAGGGTTCGCCCCCAATAATATTTTGTTGCCTCTCGCGTGGAGCCACAAAGGGTATGCGACGCGCCTCGTCGTCTACGGATCCATGGTTGGACCCGATGATCTCACAAAGGACGCGATCTAGTGATCTGAGTATAGTTATAGGTTTGTTTATGTGCTGGCGTGGTGTGAGTGTGGTGTGCGTGTGTAGGGTTGGTGTGTGTGCATACATGAGCGGATGCTATATTTGTGTACCTGGATGAGAGGCACCCAAAAAATGTCTATAAGATTCTTTGCATGGGAGTGAATGCGGTGAAAGCTCTAGTTTGGTTTTGGTGAATTGATAAAACCCTAAGTGCTAACCTAGTTCATCAAGTGATTATGAGATAGGTAGCACACTTCAAGTAGAGAAGCAAATGAAGATCATAACATGACAATGGTGATAGCATGGAGATGATCAAGGGCTTACACTTGAAGAGAAGAAAGAGAAAAACAAAAAGCTCAAGGCAAAGGTATAAACCATAGGAGCTATTTTGTTTTGGTGATCAAGACACTTAGAGAGTGTGATCACATTTAGGTTTGATAGCCGTACTATTAAGAGGGTGAAACTTCGTATCGGAATGCACGGTTATCAAAGTGCCACTAGATGCTCTAACTCATTGCATATGCATTTAGGATCTAGTGGAGTGCTAACACCCTTGATAATATTTGTGTAAATATGCTACCACATGTGCACAAGGTGTTTGTAGGGTTGAGATGGGTTTGGGTCCCTCTCGGGATTCGGCGCTTTCGGGAAAATGAAATGTCTATTTTCTATTGCGCCGGATGCAAAATTCTTGGTGGTTGGCACATTTGAGCAAGGGTGAAGAAGTAAGAGTTGAAATGGAGTTGATCGAAATGATCTTTGGCGTCGGTCTGTGACCGGACTTTGAATCGAAAGCTGCCGGACGATCGCAAGGCGTCCGGTCAGCGTACCGACTTCAATGATACGATGGCTAGGGGTTGAGCACCGGAACGCCTGTCTGCGTCCCGATCAAGGTGGGACGGACGCGTCGCGTCAAAAAAAACATGCCTCGGGGAGCTTCTTGAAGCGGCCGGACGCTGGGGCTTCAGCGTCCGGTCCTTTTCGGAGCGTCCGGTCGGCCAGCGACCGTTGATATCGGACGAACAGCATTTGAAGCGGGGGACACGTGGCGTGAATCACGTGACCGGACGCCAGCGAGGGCGGCGTCCGGTCGATCGGACCGAGCGTCCGGTCACCAGCGTTGTGCCAGTGAAGGGGTACAACGGCTCTATTTCATTGGGGCTCTATTTATAGCCCCATGGCTCGCTCAAGGGAGCTCTCTTGCACATTTTCATTGACATAGCAACCTTGTGAGCCTAGCCAAAGCCCTCCCACTCATCTACATCATTGATTCATCATCATAGTAAGATTGGGAGTGAATCCAAGTGCATTGCTTGAGTGATTGCATCTAGAGGCACTTGGTGATTGTGTTTTCATTTATGATTTCGCTTGTTACTCTTGGTGGTTGCCGCCACCTAGGCGGCTTGGAGCAGCAAGGATCGTTGAGTGGAGGAGGTGATTGTCTCCGACTCCGATCGTGGTGATTGTGAGAGGTTCTTGACCTTTCCCGGCGTGGGCGCCAAAAGGTACTCTAGTAAATTGCTTGTGGCTTGTGTGATCCTCATCTTGTGTTGGTTGTGCGGCACCCTATTGAGGGTTTGGCGAGTGATGCCAATCGGTAGCGTGAACCTCCAAGTGAGTGAATCGCCACAACGAGGACTAGCTTGTCGGCAAGCAAGTGAACCTCGGTAAAAATCATTGTGTTCATCATTGATTACGAGGTGATTGGTCATCATTATTATTCATCTTCGTGATTGATTGGTTCATTCATCTACACGGCGGTATAACCCTCTTGATCACTCTCTTTACTTTACCGCAAACTAGTTGACAAGCTCTTTAGTGTAGCTAGTTGTGAGAGCTTGCATGCTTGGTTGGTGTGGCTCTTTAGTTAGCCTTTGAGAGCACACTAACATAGGGTAGTGTCATTGCTCTTGTGTGAATTGACACTATCTAAACTAGAATTGTGGTAGGTGGCTTGCATTTTTGAGTAGGCTAGCGCAACACTAGCCGCCTCGGTAATTGTCTAACCATTTGGTTAAGTGTTGTTGTAGAAATTTTTATTAGGCTATTCACCCCCCTCTAGCCATTAGGACCTTTCAGCAGGTACAACCCCCCACCTACCACCAAAGACACTAGTTTGATTCTGTAACAAATTATGAACATAAACAAATTCAAAGCTATGCAAAAGGGGTATAAATTTTCCCTACCAATGACAACGATCACGATCGTTGGTACATAGGAGTAACTCGAGCCTCAATCGTACCCAAGTCTACTTCTCTACTATTTAGCAACATGGGTTAGAAAACACACAAGATGTTCAATTATGGGGTTAGTGTCAGTGCTAAGTGGTATAAACATTTTCACGAAAGGACGAAATAATCAACTAAATTGGTATGAAAGTATCACAGTAAAATAACACCAATAGTGACACCACCAACAACCCCGCCCCTGAGCTAGGCGAGTAGAATTGGTTGTTTGTAGTAGACAACTTGGTTGGATAACTTGCAATGGGGAGTGAGTCCTTACAATCATCCTAGAGTCCGGGAACTAGTTGAATCGCATTTCACGCCGGACATATTTGACCAGTGGGATTAAATCTAGGACAACATTAGTGGTTCTTGTACCAGGCATAGGGAAAAAGTCTAATTGGGTTTCGATGCCTTAAGGCACAGGGATTAACCAAGAGTCCAAGAGGCAGCCCAAGATAACCCACACAAGGTACATTGGACTTGTAGCACTAGCACATGTCATAAGGGATTTAATTTTTTTAGTAGCATAGGATTTTTCTTCTGTATGTGGTCGAGGGGATGTAAATATTTTTGAACAGTCATCGGTGTGGTTACAAATTACATCAAGATCATTAGAACTTACATGGGATTGGGACTTTTTACAACATGTGGTAAGCTAGGGCTTCGATCGTCTACAACACTACTCTTCTCCATAGATTTAGGATGCTAGGCATATCTAGCTCCAAAAAATATTGGAGTTGGAGGTTAGCCAAGCAAGTCGATACAATGTAGATGAGAGCCATGTTAGACAAACAATGGGCATGCTTGGTTATGCTCTGGTTATGTAGTTGTTGTTTGTTTTCTCAGTGATTGCTACTACAATAACCACTTTCGAACATATCCATTTTTGGTCGGGATATGAAAACACACAAAAGTTCCCTTTGATATATTAGGATAATATTAGAAAAGCCCATTGCTTGTACCTAGGAAATTATTATTATTTTTTGCCAATTTTCGTAAGTGAGGTTTGTCTCTCAGCATAAGAACATGAACTTAAACTCAGTCCATCGGTTCTCCTCTTCACGTACTTAGTAGAGATGCAAGTGGGCTTATCCACAGATACACAATAGTTTCTTAAATAAAAAGCTCACTTAAAAGTGTCCTGTTTGCGGGATCATGAACAAACCTGTTTAGATTCATAATATTAGTTTAAACTTATTTTTCCTTCATGTTCTTAACCCACGTGATTCTCGTGAAAATATTGTAAGCTCAAGATAATTCCACTTAAGATAAAACAAACTTTTTTGACATCGGCTCAGTTATTTGGCCCATGGCGGTACATGTGTATATTAATGTTAGATTATCGGGAGTTTAGTTCCACATTAGATGTTAGGGCACTCCTAACAATGAACCTAGATGGTTTCTATGTTCATTAATTAGGGCGTCAATTACTTAAATAACATATTTTTAGACCAATTCTCATAAAAGACTATGTAGAATGTTAATTATATAGCATAAGGGTGTGTTTCATTTGGTACCTAGGCCCTGTTCGCTTGTCTTACAATCCGTACTTTTTAACTTATTTTTTAGTTAGAATAATATTTTTTTCTCACAACAAATCAGTCAAAACAGTATTTTGACTTATTTTTTCAGCGAAGCGAACGGGGCCCTAACAGTCACTCACCTCGAAAAGCTGTCTAACAGTCACCTCTGCCTGACTCTTCAACTATCCCCTGTTTGCTTTGGTTTATTTGGCTGATAAGCCATGGCTGAAAGTACTGTTGGATGATTTGGTGTGAGAGAAAAATATTGTTCGTTGACTGAAAAGGTACGGATTATAAGCCAAACAAGCCCAAACGAACAGGCCGTATATACCCTAAATTGTAACACTTGATTATAGATTCAACGCAGGTAGATTTTTTATTAAAACTTGAGATTATCTATTGGATCTGGGGATTTGGTAAACCGAAATGAACTGCTATTGAAACTCAAGCTTAAAACGGGCAAAGGACGGACGGCCCACATGGCAGTTACTGTAACTCAATCCCGTTCATGCTTTGTGGTTTGTGCAACCGAGCCGGGCTCACCTGGGCCTGGCCACCAGGGATATGTTATGTATGAGTAATTTTAAGAGTGCTGCCTCAAAAAGCTAAATATCCCGGCCACCGGAGGTCCGGAGCCCTGGACCTGAAAAACTCGTTTGGGATTCAAACCCTCCAATCCCAAATCTGCTCTACTCATCGGTACACCTCGCCGCCGCCCACACCCCCGGCGATCGTCGCCCTACCCGGTCGACCCTTCTCCCTACCTCAAATCCCGCCCGAGCCCAACACGGCAACACCTCCCCACCATGCCGAGAAACTTCCGCAAGCGGGGCATCGAGCCGGACACTGACGACCGCTCCGACGACGAGGACACTCGCCGGTACCCATCCCTCCAATCCACTCCTCTCTCTTGCTTTGTTAGGCCTTCTCGCTGATGCCTGCCTCCCTTCCTCCCACCGCAGCGTCGCCCTCGAGGAGATCAAGTACATGCAGAAGCTCCGGGAGAGGAAGCTGGGCATCCCCGCCGGCCCCGCCGCCGCATCCACTAACGGGTCCTCCGCCCGTGGTCGAGTGGGCAGCGGGGCAGCGGCCGCCGGCGAGGCTGAGAAGGAGGACCTCGTCCTCCAGGACACCTTCGCTCAGGAGACCGCCGTCACCATCGAGGACCCCAACATGTACTGTGCTGCACTTGTATACGCAGGTTGTTTCATCTAATAGATTGAGGAATTGACACGAGTACGTGTTGGCTTAACCTGAAGGTTGAGGTATGTGGAGACCGAGCTGGCGAAGAAGAGGGGTAAGATGGTTGATGTGGGACACAAGGAAGAGATGGACCATGTGGACGAGCTCTACACCGTGCCAGACCACCTCAAGGTTTGCTTGTGGCTCAACCGAGTTCCTCAACCTGAGAATTGCACGTTGTTCTGTGGACTGCAATGATGGTACCGTTGTATTGTTCCTTGCAGGTGAAGAAGAAGAACTCAGAGGAGAGCTCGACACAATGGACCACTGGCATTGCTGAAGTTCAGCTGCCCATTGAGTGCGTTACCCAACATTTTTTTTCTCTATTGCACTATTTGTTTTTGTTTGACAAAAGTCTGGTCCACACTTAACATTGTCTTTGATAATTTGGCTGGAAATCCTTACATATTGCAGCTAACAATTTCTTGAGAATATTGTGTGAAGAAGGAAACTAGCTAATGGTCTAGTTTATGATTAAGTGGACATACATTGATTGGTAGACACAGAACTTGATCTCAGTATGTATTCACTCACCATTAATTTATTGTGACTAAACTATACAACAATGATATGTTCAAATTAGGACTCCATTACAAAGATATGTCATGCATCACCACAGTTCTATGAGCATCATGGACCCAACAATGTAACCTAGGCAGAGCTTCTCTGTTTTTCTAATATTTTTATCTGTGTTGTAGTTTAAATTTTATTCTAGTAATAGACTTTCTTTTCAAAGGTAGATGCACAATTACATGCAATTCCATGTTATCATTTTTTTTATTTCCACAGGTACAAATTAAGAAATATCGAAGAAACTGAGGCAGCTAAAAAGGTGCTGCAAGAGAAAAGGCTTTATGAGTAAACCAAAATCAGATTCAAACATTCCTTCAAGTTACAGTGCTGATTATTTCCACCGTGGTAAAGAATATGATGAGAAACTACTGAAGAGGTTTGTTTCATGCCCTTTTCAAGATTATTTTGATGAGAAACTGGAGGAACCCTACTGATAAATCATATGATTTGATGTGGGAAATAAAAATAAAAATGTAAGGCCAGAAATAAAAAAGGAGACAAGGCGTATACAACTGGACCAGATATAGCAATTGACATAGGTACTCTACAGTTTCTTACGATATTGATATGTATTAGGATAATCTTGTTAGGTAGAACTGCCTTTAGAATTTTCAGGGCTCGACAGTTGGCTAGCTGCTTTTCTTTCAATCTAGGTTGCAAATAGAAACACTAATGCATTTCCAATTACACAACAAATGTGTGGGAAGCAATATCGTATTTGTATAGTACTTGCATAACATAGTGTCATAGTTTATGTAAACCAAACTTGATTTACCAATTAAAATTTTCACGACTGCTTTCCTACAAGCTACAACTGCTTAAGACTGCACATGACAATAAAGCAAACACAAACTGCCCCTATATCGGCAAATAAAAGATTTTTCTATCTCTTTTTTTTGGAGGAATCATTTTGAAATTCACTTGCTCTTTTGAAGGCATCAAGGGAGCACAACGAGCGTGCTGACTGTTTCTGAGCCAGCTTTAAGATTTTGCATCCAGATAAAATTTTGAAGAGACATATTACATATATCATACTCCAACTGTTGCGATCGCTACTCGTTCCTCTCAAGAAGTAATCGTGGGAGATGGGAGGGCGTGGCTTGGGTTCTCAGCGGCGAGCGCGCGAGCGACAATGGGTTTAGGAGCGGAAGAGATTAATTCAATCTCCAGCTAGCCTTTTCATTATTCCATCGTTTAGGCTATATAGCCGAGCGTTCCACACTTTACTAACTGACTAACAAACTCAAATGAATAACAAACGTGAATCGAGATCCTAAACTCAAGGTAATCTTGTTGGAGCCGTGGTCGTGACCACCATGTACCAAGATGTCCTCTCGCGTCTGCACGCACCGCATGTCCTCCCGCGACGTCGTTTGGCCCCGTTCAGCCACGGCTCCGCTTGGCGGCTTTGTAGACTTGCGCCCACCATAACATCACTCCGTGCCGGCTCCCGGGTAGGCCGCGCGGAACTCCTCAACCGGCTCCCGTGTGGCGTCGACTTAAGCAGCCCGCCTTGCTGGATGAGCACGTGCCACACCTTCGCTGGCAAGCAACCGAGCACGCATGGCACGTTCGGGAACCTCGGTGTATTGGCGCAAGGGGAGGGGCCACGCCGGAGTGGTTGTCGGAGGCACACCACGGAAAGGGCTTAAAGACGCCGGCGTGGAAGGCGTCGTGGATGTGGGCGCCGTCCGTAGTTGCAAGCGGTGGCGACGTCGCCGATCGCGCTCAGCACTGGAACGGCCCGGCGTGGAAGCGCTGGCTAAGCTTGCTTGCTTGCGGCCAGGCACATGGGATTGGGCGGACGATGAAGAAGGCGAGTAGAACCCAATCCCGACGTCGAACGTCAAAGCACGGTGGTCTTGGCGTCGTAGTAGCGCTTGGCGTGAATTTCGAGCTCGGAGAAGACGGTCGCGCAGACGTCGGCGAGGAAAGCGTCGCGATCTCTGCAGGAGGCAAATCCACCGTTGCGATCTTGTTGTGGTGGCTTTGAAGTGAGGGAAGTAAGCGCCGGTGGCGCCGCCGTAGACCACCTGAAATGGAGTCGTCGCAGTAGCCGAGTGGAACGCCGTGTTGTAGCAATATTCGGCCCAGGGGAGCCAGTCGAGCCACGCACGAGGCCGGTCGCCGGTGATGCACCTTAAGTACATTGCGATAGTCTTGTTCACCGCCTCGGACTGCCCGTCCGTCTGCGGATGGAAGGCGGTGCTCATGCGGAGCTGCACCCCGACCATCTTGAAGAGGTCCCTCCAGACATGTCCTGTGAAGACGGGGTCGCGGTCGCTCATGATCGAGACCGGAAACCCGTGAAGGCGAACCACGTCGTTGAAGAACGCGCGCGCGACTGATGACGCCGTATAAGGGTGACCCAAGGGAAGGAAGTGCGCGTACTTGGAAAAGCGGTCCACCACGGTGAGGATCACGCTCTTGCCGTTCACCTTGGGAAGGCCTTCAACAAAGTTGATCGAAATGTCAGACCAGACCTGTGTGGGGACGTCGAGAGGCTGCAGGAGCCCGGCCGGGTGCAGGGCCTCCGTTTTGTTCTTCTGGCACGTCGGGCAGGAGCAGACGAAGTCCCGGACCACGACGCGGTCGTGATCCACGGCGAAGTCGCGGCGTAGTCGTTGGAGCGTCCTCTGGACGCCTTCGTGCCCCGCCGTGTGCGCGAGCTGAAGCACCACCTGGAGCAGGTTGGACGTCGGGGGCACATAGACGCACGCGCCCTTGAGGATTAGGCCGTCCTGGACGTGCCATGGCTCACCGCGCGTAGTGGCGATGGAGTCGCGCATTTGGCGCGATTCTTGCATCGACTGCTGACTCTGCGCGGACGGAGGTCGTCGAAGAGGTGAAACGTCGGTCGCGGGAAAGACGGCCAGTGCTCGACATTGTATTGGCGCCGAGACAGCATCTATTACCGTGTTCAATCGCCCCGGCCTGTACTCCATAGTGAAATCAAAACCAAAAAGCTTACTGATCCATTGGTGCTGAGGCACCGTCGATAAGCGCATTGGTCGAGCATATATTTCGGTAGCGTAGTGATCCGATGCGATTTAAGCTGGCGACCCAGGTAGGGCCGCCAATGGCGAACCGCCTGCCGCGAGCCCAATGAGCTCACGCTTCGACGCCGCCGCCACCTTCAAGTCTTGCGCGCGGCGAAGGGCTTCTTGAAAAACGCCGGTGATCCGGCGCCTTGGTGGAGCACGGCGGCAAAAGCTCGCCCCGAGGCGTCGCAATCCACCATGAAGGCCTTGGTGAAGTCGGGAGGTGCGAGCGGGGCGTGGACAAAGCCTTCTTGAGCGCTGCATGACGCCATGATCGCCTCGTCGATCGGTGAACCCTCCTGCGAAGAAGTTTGGTGAGGGGCGCGGCCACCGTGCCGAAGTCCTTGATGAAGCGCCGGTAATACCCGGCGAGGCCGAGGAAGCCGCGCAGGCCGCATGCCGACGCTGGCTGTGGCCAGGAAGCCACGGCCTCCACCTTGTCACCGTCCATGGCCACCCCGGACGCCGAGATGACATGGCCGAGGTAGGTCACGGAGGACGTGGCGAAGGCGCACTTGGAGCGTTTGATCCGGAGTTGGTGCTCGCGTAGGACGGTGAAGACGGCGCGCAGGTGTTGCAGGTGCTCGGTCCATGTCTTGCTATAAATCAATATGTCGTCAAAAACACCAGGACACACTTACGAAGGAAGGGTTGCAGAACCGCGTTCATCAGGCTTTGGAACGTCGCCGGCTCGTTGGTGAGGCCGAACGGCATCACGAGGAACTCAAAGTGCCCGTGATGCGTCCGGAATGCGGTCTTCTCGATGTCATCCGGGTGGACGCGCACCTGATGGTAGCCGGCGCGCAGATCAAGCTTGGTGAAGAACCGTGCGCCGTGCAGCTCGTCGATGAGTTCCTCCACCACAGGGATGGGGAATTTGTCCTTCACCGTGTGGTCGTTGAGAGCGCGGTAGTCCACGCAAAAGCGCCACGTTGCGTCGGCTTTCTTGACGAGGAGTACGGGCGCGGAGAAGGGCGACGTGCTGGGACGTATGAGGCCCTGCTCCAGCATGGTCTTGCACTGCGCCTCCAGCTCGTCCTTCTGGAGCTGGGGATAGCGGTACGGACGGACCGCCACGGGCGCTGTGTTTGGCAGCAAGTGGATCCGATGGTCATAGGCGCGCGGTGGCGGCAGGCCCGACGGTGGCTCGAAGATGTCGGCGAAGGACTCCAGGAGCCGGTCGAGGAGGGCGGGCTCGGTGCCGTTCGCGACGTGGAGGCGCCCAGTGGGAGGAATGTCGGTCCGCGTGGACTCGATCCCCTTCCACAAGACGCGCTTGTCGTGGTGCCAAAAGGCCATGCAGAGGTCGTCAAAGTCCCATAGAATGGGGCCCAACGTGCGCAGGTACTTGACGCCCAACACCATGTCATAGCAGTCGAGCGGTATGGCGTAGCAGTCGACGTTGAAGTACTCGTTGCCGATGCGGATGGCGACGTCGTGGGCGAGGCCGCGACAAGCGACGCGGTCCCCGTTAGCGACCACCACATGGGCGCCTTGGCTGTCGTTGAAGTGGAGGCCTATGCGGCGCGCCGCCCCCGAGCTGATGAAGTTATGTGTCGACCCGGAGTCGATGAGGGTCATGAGCTCGTAGTTGCCAATGGACACCCGGACCTGCATCGTGTCTTCAGTCCGGATGCCGGTGATCGCTGAGAGGGAAATGAGCGGCGGAAGCTCGTCCCGCGGCTCCCCGGGGGCGTGGTCTTCATCCGGCAGGGGAGGCTCGGTGTCGTCGAAGTCCGTGACCTCCAGGTAGAACAAAGGCCGACACTTGTGCTCGCGCACGTCTTCGCTCATCGCGGTTGTAACACGAGCCTCGCCGTAAGCGTTCCGCCATCTCCGTGGGCGAGAGGCGACGCAGGCAGACGTGGAGCTGTGGCGGCGTGACGCCGGTGATGCGTTCACGGGCGCGCGGCGGGCCGGAGGTGCCGGTGCCGGCAAATGTGGCAAAGCGAGGACGCGCCGAGGGCGGTGAAGAAAGCAGCAATGGGCGCCGCTGTGTTTTTGGCGCCGTTCGTGAAACGCTGAGCCAAGCCATGGCCTTATTGAAGATCCGTAGGGCCTTGTAGCTCGGCGTCGGTGCGGATCGGGTCCGGAAGGCCACCGGTGAAGAGCTGGACCTCTTTGGAAGCGAGAGAGAGTGCGGCGGCGCCATCCGGACTGGAACGCCTCTCGGTACCCGACCACCGAGCCCGAAGCGGCGGCCGCGCCAAGTCGGCGAGGTGGTTGGTGGCGAAGCGGTCCGGTCCGG